GGGCTCAAGAAAGTCAGATTAGATGATCAACCCAGCAGTCAGGGTCCAGTTAAGAAAATATAGCTCCATTCAAAAAATCTAAAAGAAGAACTTCAAGGAGAACTAACTACATAGATATTGTGAGAGCTAAAACACCAAACAAAACAACGAGGCAACTCAGAGATTAACAAAGAAAAGGAAGAAGAAGGTGCTAAAGTTGGCGTGTTAGGACTGTTCAGTGGAAGCCCTTTGAAGCAATGTGGCCAGAGCCGGAACCATGGAGGGAAGAATAGAGTAGCCATTCAGCTAGAGCTGGAGCAATGAAACGATACCACCTTTAGCCATTACCAGAAATCCTGCTCGCACGCCCCAAGTCTAGCTGCTACTTTGCTCTTGCCTTTCAGTTCCCGTTATTTTGCTTCCCACTGGCCAAACTGGGCAATTGCTGTTGGCAGGGTAGCTTGGAAAACACAGCAAGCCCTTGCCTTTAAAAAAACAAAAATGAGAGAGGACTCATATTTCCTGATTTTGTAACTTACTATAAAAGCATAGTATTATAAGGAAGGGAGTTGTACAAAAACAGTACAGAAATCAATGAAACGGAATTGGAAATACAAAAAAAGACCCATACAAACACAATTAATTTTGACAAATATACAAAAATAATTCAATAGAGAAAGGAGAGTCTTTTTTAACAAATTGTCCTGAAACAATAACACCCATATGCATAGAACAGAGCCTTCACCCATACCTGGAACAATATGCAGAAATGGACTATTGACCAAAAGTAAAATAGAAAACCATAGAACTGTTCGAGGGAAAGACAGGTCTGATAATTTCACGAACTCATCCTAAAAAAAGTGCTACATACCACATTGCTGAATATCACCATAGTCACCTTTGAAGTACTCCCTTCAGGAAACTAGGCACCTTTGACAAAACCTGGTCCACTCTTCAAAGCTATTTTGGAACTCTTTTTCTGGCATGGCCATCAGAGCTATTGTCTATTAGCCTTGATGTCCTGAATATCATCCAGATGTTTTCCTTTCAATATTTCCTTTATCTTTTTTTTTTTTTTGCAGTTTTTGGCTGGGGCTGGGTTTGAACCCACCACCTCCAGCATATGGGGCTGGTGCCCTACTCCTTTGAGCCACAGGCACTGCCCAATATTTCCTTTATCTTTGAGTAAAGAACAAAGTCATTGGGGGCCATATCAGGTGAGTAGGGAGGGTGTTCCAATACAGTTATTTGTTTACTGGTAAAAACTCCCTCCCAGACAGTGCTGTGTGAGCTGGTGCACTGTTGTGATGCCATTCCTTTCTCATGCCAAGATTTTCAGTTTAAGATTTTCCTGTTTCTCTATCAATATTTACTTGGTCTTCTATGCTTCTTACACACAATTGAATGAATTTCTACAGTATTTCCTTCAGTTCTGCTTATTACTGGCCACCCTAACCTCTCTTCATCAGTGACACTTTCTCTCCCATAGGAAAAATCCTTAATCCATTTGTACACTGTCATTTCCTTCATATCATTAACCCCATCAACTTGCAGGAGGGAACATGTCCTTGATTTCACTTCCATTCTTGTCAATGTTAACAAGAAATTTAAGGTTTCTTCATTGCTTTAATTAAAACTCTGATATTCTCACAACAACACACAAAAACATTCAACAACAATAATGAATGCCACACAACAAGACATTACCACCTGTCAACACGAACACAGGTGTGAGCCACTGATATACCGAGGTTATGAAACCTCACCAAGGTGTTTGTACAGTGCTGCCAACATAAGCGCACAGGTGGCAAGCTCGTGAACTTGTCAGATCTCATATAACAGTGCTCATTTTACCTGTTAGGGAGGCTACAGCATATACTTCCATTCTCTCCTCTGCTTGATTTCCACTGAGTTTTACTTTCTTCTGTGAACATGTGTGCTCATCAGTTAGTTCCAGGTTAATATGTGAGTATGTACATGTAGTGTATGTCTTTCCATTCTTGAGATACTTCACTTAGGATAATGGTCTCCAGTTCTATCCAAATGTTTTTGAAAGGCATTAATTCATCCTTTGTTATGGCTGAGTAGTACTCTATAGTATACATATCCCACATTTTAGTAATCCACTCATGAGTTGATGGGTACTTAGGTTGATTCTGTATCTTTGCAGTTGTGAATTGTCTTGCAGTAAACATTCACACTAACGTGCCTTTTTGATAAAAAAAAACAATGACAACAAAAAGAGCTTCTTTTCATTTGCTAGATCTAATGGTAGCTCTACTTTTAGTTCTGGCTATAAATGCTATATTTTCAGTCTCCACAGTTTTCTCCAAAGAGGCTGTACTAATTTGCAGTCCTACCAACAGTGCCTAAGCATTCCTTTCTCTCTGCATTCAGCATCTATTGTTTTTAATTACATAGACTTTTTAATAAAAACTATTCTAACAGGAGGAAGGTGGTATCTCATCGTAGGCTTAATGTGCATTTTCCTGATGATTAGTGACTTCCAACATTTTGTTTATTGACCATTTCTCTACCTTCTTTTGAAAGGCTTCTGTTCATGTCTTCCCTCACTTTTTAATGTTTTTTTTTCTGATTTGAGTTCCTTGTAGATTCTTGATATTATCCCTTTATTAGATATATAGTTTATGAAGTAAGCATTCTTGATGCCAATTTCATGAGACACTGAGAGCTAAAGGTTCACAGAAGAAACTAAATACTATGTAATTCTTTGGGTGGCCAGCAATATATCCTAAGAAACAAGGCACTTATCACTGAAAAACTTCCTTAAGCCTCTGATCATTGTTTTCTGAGAATATCATTGGTTTCGAATTCAATGTAATAATTTGAAGTATAAGGTAGGAGTCATCAAATTCATGCAAATAATAATACTATACTTTCCTCTACTTTTTAGTAGTGTATTAAATTCTCCCGAGCTGGGAAATGTGGAAGACAAAACAAGAAGAAAGCTATGCTCTATTTAGCGTATTAATAGGAGTTTGGATTTGTGTTAACGCTGACATGGAGTTTTATTTTTATTTCTAGCCTATTTTTTTCAGAATGTCTTAGTAGACTTTGGCCACGTTGAAAAACCTTGGAAAACATCTCTTGATTTTTCTGCACAATATTGCATTGTGAGATTATTCTTTTTCTTCCTTCAAGGGAAAATTAAACTTCAAATCCTCAAAAATAAAAACCATGGAGAAAAAGAGAATTTGTTGAGAAGAATGCTATTATCCTCTTGCAAATCCTTTCCTTCCCTTATTCTCAGTCCTGCGTCTAATGCACTCACAATAATACAACATAGTTTCAGTGTGGTGATCGGTGCTATAAAAACATAATTAAATAGAAACTCACAGAGGCCTCTTCAGGATAAAGATGGCTTCAGTCACAGAGAAAGCCAAAATCCTAAAAGCATATGAAAGCAAAACCCAGAATTAAACATTTTCTGGATCCTGATCATTTCTAAAATAGCAGCTATAAATGCCATATTTTCAGGCACAGAATGAAAAAGAAGGAAAGTTTTTAATCACTTACTATGGGAAGATCAAGAAGAAACACATGGAAGAAAGATTAGACACAAAGGATTTCCTAACAAGTGTTATTAAATAAGAGAATATATTACTTTAAGACACTGCTTTAAAAAAAAAAACAGAGCAAAACAACTTTCTTTAGAAAACCACAAAACTCTATGATGTGGTCTCTCTGATCCACCCAGAACAGAGAACATAATAGCATCGAGGAGCTTACAGTTCTCTGGTCAGTCCCAGGTATTTTGATTTCAGGAAAATGCTTAAATTACACTGTATATTTCTGTCCTCTACAACTATGTTTACTTTGATAAGTCAAGACCAATTTTTAAATGTTTGTTTTAAAATTACAATATCAGTGCAAATGGTCCAACTCCTGGGGGTTTCATTATAACTGTGGATGAGTTCTGTGATCACTCCACTTCAGACATCTCTGATCAGAAACTTCCTTCCACTCTTTGCAGAGTGTAAAAAAAAGGCACTTTCTAGAAGGCCAGCATTATTAAAAATAACAATTTCTGATTATAAATATTCCAATATTTCCTTATAAAACACAAAGATGACAATTTAAGTTATCACTACACAATGGCAAAAAGATAACCATCATGAATATTTTTTCTCTCCAGGATGTATGTGCTTATAAGCATGTCAAATCATTCAGATAAGAATTTTGTCTATAAATTGGAGTCATAATAAGCTTTGAAAGATTTTAAAAAATTTCATATCCATCAGAAATATGATTTTAAAGCCTGCACGGTATTTTTCTATTGTAGCACTTACACTAAGATCTATTTATTACAATATTTATTACAAAAATATTATAATGTTATTGTATATTAGTTTCCATTGTCAAATATGGCAACAAATTTATCCTTTTGATTCATAAGTGCTAAAATGTTAAGTCCTTAAGTTACCTTTGGCCCTTGGGAAAGCACGGTCCTTTGACAAAGTTAAAGACAAATACATTGAAGCGGGGAGGAGATGAAAATGAGTAGGAAAAGGAATTTGGGTGTCTGCACCCAGAGGATGGGGGCCTAAAGTAAATAATGCCAAGCGCCTCACTGGCCCCCACTAACATTCTACACACCTGACGACTAACTAAAAATGAACATCAAATACAAGTTCTGAAGAGAATAAAAAATATAGCGAGGAAACAATACACAGAGTCTGGAGAATGAAGTTACAAAGGAGCTCTGGGTATGTGAGGAAAACATTTATCTCTACGCACATTATACAATATGCAGAGACACAGTGTCCGCCCGCCGAATGCCTCTGACGTCCTTTTCCGTTTGGAGTCCAAGTCTTTCCCGCAGCTTATTGGGTCTTAGCGTCACTTCTAGCTGAATTGCTAAAGCCTCAAAGCAAAACAAAAGTCCTGGGGCCTAGACCTGATTGTTCCCAAACTTGGCTGCCAGCAGACTCACAGGGGAGGGGTTTGGTATGTTTTTTTCTGCTCTCAGGCTCCCACCACTGACGCTTTTTAAACCGCAGGTTGGGAAGCGGCTGAGCACAGAGCGTTTGTAACCGGAGCTGCAGGTGAAGGTTCCCAGACAGTGTCCCCGGAGGGACTGCGAAGCGATGCCAAGTCCCCTGCCGTATTCGCGACAGGTTGGCCTAGGGGCGACCCCTCTGCCCCGAAGCTCCGTCGTAGCCCACCCCGGGCTCCGCCAGGGGGCGCCAGGACCTCGCAGCTCGCCCGCGGCCAGCGCGTGCCCTCCCGCGCGCCCAGCCCTCCGGGACCCGCCGCGCGCCCTGAAAAGGCTCAGGTGTGGCGCGAAGGGAGCGCGACCCCGAGCGGCGCAGCTGGCTGTAGGGGGCGCCTCCCGCAAACCCAGCCGCGCTCCGGCTCCCTTGGACGCCGCCCTCACGTAAGATCTTGTTTTGTGTTTTGTTTTAAAAGTCTTCCCCGCCCCCGTACTGCTTGAAGGCGTAAATGAGTGAGGGGTGGGAAGGTGGGAGGGGAAATAGAGAAAAGAGGCGCTGGGGGATTGAATACCCCCTTTAAATTACTGCTGACACCTCGGTTCCAGGCCCCTAAAATCTCAATCAACAATCCATTAGAACTCAACAGGAGTAAAACTAAATCCTCGTTTAAGTGTATTTATCCGATCTCCTTTCTCTCTTTCAAATGCTAAATCCATTTCAGCATATGCCCCCTCTTTCTCTAGCCTTTCTCTCAAGACTGGCAGCCCATACCACTCTTGTAAATATGAAAGATGCTAATCATATGACATATCACGTCTCCGTCGGAGCCGGAATAAAGCCTTCAGATTTGGGATCATTGCCTCCAGACAACAGCTTCATCAGCCGGAAAGTTGGTTTTTTTTCTCCTTTCCTTCAACTCTCAATCCCTTCTTTGTCTGGAGGAAAATGCAGCCGACTCGAGCCACCCAGGCCATATGGTTCACTCTGTATTTTCTTAGTTGAATTCTGAATTGTTTCTGTGACTTGCGAAGTTTTTTTGGAAGTGCGTATAAAGACATAGAAGAGCTACTTGTTCAGGGAGCGCTGCCCGGGCGCGCCGCGGCCGCCCCCTCCCGGCCCGGAGACCCGGCCCGCGCTCCTCCCAGGGTAACCTCCGCCCAGGGTAACCGCAGCAGTTGCATTATCACAATATTGTGACTAACGACCAAGCAGGCCACAGCTGTTTGATTCTCGCTCTGTGCGTGCTCCGCGCCTTGCCCGACGCCTGGCACACAGTAGGCGCTCGGGAAATAATGAAGGGAATAAAAAGAATGAATAAATAAGCTATCAGGGGCTTTATCTCTTTGGCTCCTTGAATATAAACCAGATTGTCGCCCTCTCCCGACACTCTCTATTGCATTACAGTTCTGTTGTCTCCGTAAACTTACTTTCTGACGTGTGTAACTTTTTGGTTTTGGTTTACTGATTTGAACGTAAGCTCTGTGGGGGTAGAAATCATGTCTTGTCTTTGCATCACAGGGTTTTCCCGGGCTGGGACAGCGATCACTGAACACATTCATTGCTCATGGAGTAGGTTTGGAATGTAGGAAGAAGGAATGATGCAATGAGTAAGTTAAAGTAATGAACTGATGCTATTTCCAGAAGATACAGCTTAGGAAATTCTCTTTGCTAAATATTTGAACTTCGTGCCTCAGCCTCACCCTTTTGATTTGTACTACTTATCAGTAACAATAAACAATACATTTATTTCCAGAAGAGAATTGGGGAGGGGAGTTGTTTTGTTTTGGGTTTTGTTCCCTTCATGGGGAGAGGAGAGGGAAAATCAGTTTTCAAGATCTTTATCCATTTCTCTGAATAAGTTTTGTGTTTTCCAGGTTCGGGACTGTCCTTTCGAGGGAGCAGGCTGCCAAATTTCCTTTCTAACTCCTTACACAAATCCCAAAGGGCCCTTTCACCAAATCATTAAATTCTACAGAGGTGGTCAAGCTCGCACTGCTTTTCATGAAACGAAGAAAGAAAAGGGTCCTTGAAGTTTAGAAGATGCCCAAGGAAAACTCCTTGAATGACATCAAAAGAATGAGTTTCCATAGCTGTTGAAGCACGAGGGCAGTGTATCCTCACAAAGGGGGATCGGGGCACCGGGACGGGCCCACCGCTCTGTCCCAGGACAATTGGGTCACTGAAATAGGGAATTAATTACCATTGGAGAGTGGGCAGGCCATTCACCACTGGCTGAGTTTTATTAAACGCCAATATAAATAACAAAACAACTCTTGTGGCTGCACTATTCCTACACGCCAAAGGAAGGATTATGCTGGGGATTAACATCTTAAAGTCTATGAGACTTTCTGACTCAAGGCTCGGAGCTGGTAATCGTGTTTGTCTCCTGGTTCAGCGATTAGTGCTCTCTTTCTTGCACTTTCCCCTGGATAGCCAATGTCCCTTTTTGCAGGCACGGAGAGTTGGGGGGCGGCTCCCTAAAGGGCCCCCGGCTCTCCATTCACATGCCGGCTGTTCTTTTCCCCTTACCTGAGGAAAACAATCAGAAGGCTGGCTGGAGATTGGCAAAATCTCCTAGAGTGATTTCTTTCCTTCGTGGGAAAGAAGACGGACGCTTGGGTAGCGGGTTAGATTAGGGGTGAGAAGTCTGCGGGGGTCTCAGTTCCCCGGAGCGGATAGGGTGAGGGTAGGGTGGGCAAAGACGGAGAGGAGCCGCCCTGCACCTGCGGAGGAGATCCCGCCGCAGTTAGCAGACGTTGTGCGGTCAAACCGAATCCCCGCCTGTTTAGCTTGTGGCCACCACAGCACATTGTGCGGGCTTCAGGCTAGTGTCCTCGGAATGGGCATGGGGCGCGGTGGACGATCTTCCCTGTCTTCTGTCTTCCCTCGCACAGGTCGATTCCTCTGACACGGCAAATAATTTAAAGGGGGCGCTGGGGGTAGGGGGGATACTGGCGCAGTGGAGCGGCAGTTCAGTGACCTAGCCTGGACCTCTCAAGGACTCGGTTGAAGCGGAATCCTCTCCGGACAGGATCCCAGGGGAAAACGAGGATGAGCCTGAAAATTCCATGTGGGAGCGGGTGGCTGAGGACTAGGAGGAAGGAGGGACATGCGTTTACATTGCTACTCCCCTTGGTTTTCTTGGCTCCCCGGAAGGGGGACAGGCAAAAAATCTGAACTCACATTCGTTCCCAGAGCTCACCATCACCACTACCAAATTCTGACACTGCAAGGAATTCTCTACTGAAAAATCTAACTGTACCTTTGCCAGGCTTGCCTGTTCTGGAAACTGCGTTTCCAGCCTGTAGCGAAGAACTAGAGACTGCGGGAGTGAAAGATGTTCAGGATTTGCTTTTTCTCGCCATCTTTGGGTCTCTTGGAGAGCTCGCGCGGGGGACTAGGATTTAGGGTACAAAGCCCCTCTTGGCAGGCATTTAATCCTGATCTTTTGGCAGAGCATAAGCATGCCCTCTTCTTTCGGCCTGGGTGCTTGACTGAATTGGGGGACAATTTCTCTGGACAGCCAAACCTTTGCTCTGGTACTTTCTAGGAAGGGCGCCCTCCTTGGCGCTCGCAGATCTTCACCTGCAACAGCGAGTGTCTACCGCACGGACCATTTGTCCTCCTTGTCCACTTGTGAGGTCGAAGTGTGGATAGGATGTAGCCTATGGCTCCACAGCAACACCTACCGTAAACTTTAGGGCTTTTGGGTCGTCTCAAAAGTTCAAGCTTCTTAGAAGCAACAAAGACTTTCTAAAGAGCTCCACCCCTTTACCCCTCCCCTCACTTCACTTTTCTCTAGCTACACGCTCTCGGCCTCCTTTTTAAGGCTCCGAGATGAGTTTAAATCATTATGCTCCCATTTCTTGATAACTGCCCGCTTTGAGCTTTTTGTTCTCTTAAAGTAGGATTGCACACTGAAAGAGGGGCTGAAGATGAACAGTTTGACCCTTTAGGACAGTTCACGCAATGGACAGGAGCGGCCTTCGGTCACCATCCTTGCTGATGCTATTCACGCGCTCCCCTCCCCCTTCACATAACATTTCAGCCTCGTTTCATCTGGACAATCTTTTAGACCACACAAGTGCCTCTTGAATTTATTTAAGTTAAAAGAGTGCTAGAAGGGTCCAGCTAAGGATATTTGGCATTAGTTAACTTCTGCGCAAAGCCGAGTACAAATCGAAATGGTTTTTCTGCAGCAAAACTGAGCAAAATGCCAAACAAATAGAATTCTATCTAGGCAATTGAGCGTGAATGGCTGGTCTCTGGATTGCACCAGCGTTGTTAGCTCGTCCTTGGGGTTCTTTTCTTTTTTTTTAAAGGATTTTTTTTTATACTTAGAAAAATGTTCTCATATCAAGAGTGAGGCAGCTCTGGAAAGCTACAGCGCAAACACACAACCAAAAATTCTTAGAGTTCCAAGATCTATGCAGGGTGATTTCCTTACTCCTTTACTTTGCACAGAAATCTAACATGTACAAAACTGCATATACCCGAAGAAGCTCTTTTTTAAATAAAAAATAAAATTCTACAAAACCCCTATTATTATATTTAAATGGATTAGAGATTGATTTAGATCAACCCCGAGTACATATTCCTGACAGTGCTGGAATACTTTCTTTCTTTTTTGAGACAGTCTCACTTTACTGCCCTCAGTAGAGTGCTCTGGTGTCACAGCTCACAGCAACCTCCAACTCCTGGGCTTAGTCGATTCTCTTGCCTCAGCCTCCTGAGTAGCTGGGACTACAGGCGCCCTCCACAACACCCAGCTATTTTTGTTGTTGTTGCAGTTTGGCCAGGGCAGGGTTGGAATCTGCCACCCTCAGTATATGGGGCCAGAGCCCTACTCTCTGAGCCACAGGCACCACCCACTCTTTCCTTCTGAAGGAAAGTTGCAGAATATGTTGACTTTTCCCTAACAGATAGTATACAAGTTTTGGGTTTTATGTTGGAAAGAATATGCCCTTTCAGTGAATCATAAAAGCATAAAATTCTAGGTGAATATAAAAACTGGGGAGTCAGATGCCCAAATACTGTTAACAATCAACTAAGAAATCCATTGTGTTTCACTAGCTCTAAGCATTAGACCCAGCTTGATCTCATTGTTATTTGGGATTATACAAGGCTCACTGGGTTTTTTTTTTTAGCCTCTACTTAACTGGATTGCAATTCTGTTCTTTGCCCTAAATGCTTTATCATTAAATCAACCTAGCACTTCCTAGCCAAACCACAACTTTAAAGCTGTCCCAAAAAGTATATTTCTACAGATGCTAAAATAAACCTTCCTTTGCTTTCCATTACATTAATTTATTGGCTTGTCTTTCTTTGCAGGCAACTACTGTGGAGAGATACAGGTGTGTAAGACCATGGTTCCTCCCATGATGCCAGTATTTATTTTTAACAGTCTTTTATCATTTCCTCAGAACCTAGCTTTCTCAGTTTTTCTTTCATTCAAACTACAAACAAAAATCCTGCTTCCACTCTCAAATGTTTCTCTGATGCCTACCTGGCTGGGATGAACAAGGCCACACCACTGGTGGGTTTTCTTTTAGGGGAACTGTGAGCCCAGTATTGGTTTCAGAGATCGTTGCCTATGAAGTAATGTTCATGTGTGCATACCATGAACCTGTCTTTTGCTTGTATCAAGCCATTTGTGAAGCTCTGATTCTGCAGGTTTATGACACGGAGAGACCCAAAGGAATATGAGAGAGGCGGCTGCTGTGTGCTGCAGAGACTGACTGTTTCTTCTTTCTTTCTCATTTTTGCACTTCTAACAAATTAAATCACCTTGTTCTGATCTTGGGAGAAACTGGAAAGGATACTTTTAAAGTTGAGGAATTTGCTTTAAAATGGGAGGAAAGGGAAACACAAGAAGAAAACAGTAAAGTGAAAATCATGATGGTTTTCAAATCATTTTAAGACAAAGGGAAGTCTTAAGGCTGGGGAGCTGCAGGGCAAGAATCTATTTCACAGGATTCTAAGTTTCATTTTCTTTTTGCCCTCAATTTTGTTACCTCTCTCCAGAAAACGTTAAACAAATTAAAACTATGCCAAAACACTAACAGCCACTTTCATCACTCCCTTCTCTGAAATACAACTTGATTCCAATTTCCACAAACTGAGGGAGACACAAATCAGAAGTTAGTATTCTTCCACTCCAAGGAAAAGTGCCTCAATGAATAAATATAGCATTTTCTCTCTCTCTTGCTACTGAGTCCTAACACTCCAACTGCGCCTTAATTTGCAAAAAGGATCTCAAGAGAACCCTCTCTCGATTCCTGGAGTCCCAGGTCGACAACAGGGTGGGCGTGATCGTGGGGGATAGGGGCGGGAGGGGGGGAGCTGACGAGCAATTCAGAACAAGTTTCCTCCAAAGTCCAGTCGTCCTTCAGCTCCTTTTTTCTCATTGAAAAGCGGGAGAATCGGGAAGATGGGCCTCTTGTCCCTACAACGCCCCCCAGCGCGGAGCAGAGGTCACGGAAATGTCAGCTCAGCCCATTTGCTCGCAGGAGCAGCAGCTCCCCAGCTCCTCCTGCTCGGTCTACCGCCACCCACACAGGAATCACCTAGCAGTCCTGTCCCACCAGGCTGCAAACTGAAGTTAACACCCCTAGAACCTTCTTCGGTGCCCCGACCCTTAAGCGGCCGCAGGTAAAAATGAAGAGGTTTCTTGCAACTGTTATCATGTGAGCATGTGAAGGCTTCTATTCTCACATCTTCTAAAAGCCCAATTGCTCTTCCACACAGTCTCCCCTTCCAGGAGGCTTTCTGAGCCCGCCTTGTCCTCTCCCTTCACCCTTCCCACCAGATTCTCTGGACCCCAAACACTCTGGTCCATGATGTGCCCACTGTTCACCACCCACGCCCCTTTCCTTCCCTAACCAGATGAAAGTGTTTTAAAATTGTTTACTATTTGAAACCGTCCCTAAGAGGTTTTGCCAAAACACGCCAGGCAGTACCACGAGGGCTAACTGCTTTCCTCGGGATTCTGACCCCCATTAACTAATTCCTAGCTCCCATCGCCGAGGAGCTAGGAAGCCCGGCAGAGCCGAGTGCGGTGTGTGCTCGCGCGCCGGGGCGGGGGGAGACCGGACGGCCGCTAGGACGGGGGCGGGGGCGGTAGCCCGAGTCCCCCCAGCGGCCCCCAGCGGCCCCCAGCACCCGAGCGCCTAATGAGCTGCTGAAAGGGAGCGGGCTCCAGTGCGCGTGGCTCGCAGGCCTCCCGGAGTCCAGGGCGCCCTGATTGGCCAGCTGCGCCTCGCGACCTCCATTCATTAATAAATTAGCGGCACGCTCCAGCCGAGCGCGAGCCACCAATCACAATGGACAGCGGCGGCGACAACAGCCCCAGCTTGAGCTGCTGCGGCTGCCGTGGCCTCGCCAGCTCCGGCCTCAGCCTGAAGCTCCAACATGAGCTTTAGAACCATTTTATGCTGATTAGATAAAGAGGGAAAAGAGAGGCGGGGGTGGGAGGAGGATAGATGGATGGCAGGGCCAAGGGAGGGGGGAAGAGGGTGAAGAAAGAGAAAGAAATGAATGATGATAATGCAATGAAAAGAATAAGCCAGGGGAGGGAAAAGCGGGGGAGAAGGGGGGCCGGTACAGGGGGAAGGAGGAGGCGGTGGCGGCAGGGGTGGTGAGGTGGGGGCCCGGGGCAGATCTGATTGTTTTCTTGGTGGTATATAAGGGGTTTTAAGGAGAGTCGTGTGCCAGACACGCAGCCACTGAACCACAAGCAGTTCGCTTTAACTGGAGTGCCTGGGAGTCGCGTGCCGGGAGCTGCACCGGGGACTGACTGACAGACAGACACGCACCACCACCACAACACACGAGACCCAGGCGGGCTGCGGCCGCCACCGCCGCTTGGCAAACTCGCCGGTCGGAGAGGTCCCCCGTGGAGCTGCGCCACTGTAGCACTGGGCTCGGGCGAAGGACATAGTGCTGCTCTCCCGGCCGCACCGAGACTCCGGTCACACCTCAAAGTAACTGCACGTTTAGAGCCAGCTAAGTAAGTATCCGCGCCATGGCTTCCAACTTTGCATGGCTGTTTCCCGTACTCAGTCCAAACACGCCCGAACGCCCTCGACTCTGGGCAGAATCTTTGTCGCAGAGGTTACAGTCCCTTCCCAGGGCAGGAAGCCAGCCGTCAAGGAGCCGCAGAGTGCAGGACCCGCCAAACTGGCGGCTGGGTTGCAATGAGGGGCGCTCCTGACCTTGGCTGGGTTCCCTCCCCAACTACGTTTCTCCTCCGCGCGGTTTCGAGTACTCTTCTCTAGGGCGCGTAGGAGCACGTCTCGGTAACTCGTAGAACGTGCCTCTGTTTCTTGATCACCTTATTTGCCTATTTCTTGTTCCCTGCTCTCTCCTGTAGGATGTTCGTCAAATCTGAGACCTTGGAGTTGAAGGAGGAAGAGGACATGTTGGTGTTGCTTGGCTCGGCCTCCCCAGCCTCGGCGGCCCTAACCCCCTTGTCCTCCAGCGCCGACGAGGAAGAAGAGGAGGAGCTGGGCGCCTCGGGCGGGGAGCGCCCGCTGCGCTCGGCTGAGGCCGGGCAAGGAGCGCGGGGCGGCTCAGCGGCTGGGGCCGAGGGCTGCCGGCCAGCACGGCTGCTGGGCCTGGTGCACGAGTGCAAGCGGCGCCCCTCCCGGGCGCGGGCGGTCTCCCGGGGCGCCAAGACTGCCGAGACCGTGCAGCGCATCAAGAAGACCCGTAGACTGAAGGCCAACAATCGCGAGCGAAACCGCATGCATAACCTCAACGCTGCGCTGGACGCGCTGCGCGAGGTGCTCCCCACGTTCCCCGAGGACGCCAAGCTCACCAAGATCGAGACCCTGCGCTTCGCCCACAACTACATCTGGGCGCTCACCGAGACCCTGCGCTTGGCTGATCACTGCGGAGGCGGCGGGGCCCTGCCGGGGGCGCTCTTCTCCGAAGCTGTGTTGCTGAGCCCCGGAGGCACTAGCGCCGCCCTGAGCAGCAGCGGAGACAGCCCATCGCCCGCCTCCACGTGGAGCTGCACCAACAGTCCTGCGCCGTCCTCCTCGGCGTCCTCCAACTCCACCTCCCCCTACAGCTGCACTTTATCGCCAGGCAGCCCGGCCGGGTCAGACATGGACTACTGGCAGCCCCCACCTTCCGACAAGCACCGTTATGCGCCTCACCTTCCCATAGCCAGGGATTGTATCTAGAGCTGTCATCTCTGCTACCCACGCCAGGCCTTAGTGGGTTCCCTTTTGTCCTCAGTCGTTCCCTCCTCCCTTCCACTGACCCCACTTTCCACGCTCTGAAAATCACCTCCCTTCACAGGGCAGATGTAGCCGTTCTGATTCCTCGGCTTGTTGCCCTCCTAGACTATTGGTTTTCTTCATTCAGACGGGCTCTGATTTACTTCAAGTGTGATGGAGCTTACGGTCAAAGAGAATGGTGGCGTTTTGGGGGCTTCTTGAGACTAAAAAGATGTTGAGAAGAGACGATGGTGGCGTATCTAAAGAGCAAACTGACGCTCCTCCCCTTTCTCTGTAGCAGGACTTAGTACAGTTCATGTGAATCTCCCAGGGGGGATGCAACTGGTTCCTGTGATCTCTTCACCTTTGCTTCTGCATAGAGATGTTAATGTCGAGTAGAAAGAACTGTATCTTAGCATCTGAATGATTTTACCGGTAATAATATTATCCACCGATTTGCAATGGCTGGCATCTGCTTTATTCCCATTGCTGTCAGCAGGCTGTGGGAATTTCACCTGTCAAACCAAACTTTCCCTCTCTGATGTGCACTTTGTTCTGTTTCCCAGATTTGTCACAATACCTATTGTCCCTTCCTTCTCTTTCCTTTTTCTTCCCCATTTTGCCATCTGTCTCTTATGATTTATAAGGGGGGGAAAACTTGTTTTGTTAGAGGGGCAGGTTAGAAGTCATTGTATAATTTGTAGGCTTTGTAATGATTGAATACAAGCGTGGAAATTTAGGCTGAACTCTCTATCAAAAGGAAAAATGTGGAGGAAAAGGGAAAAATCAAGAGGGAGGATTGCTTCATGCATTATTTATCTCGACCTTTTAGGGGAGAAGGAACTCCCCCGTTCTTTCAAGAGATTAAAAATAAATCAACAGTCTGAAAACCTAAGCAGACATGGAGCATTATTGGGATCAACCACACACGTGTTCCCTTCTATTTATTACAAAGAAATTTTTCATGGGAAAAGTATGTATTTTTTTGTATATTCTACAGAGTTTATTCTAGTATGTATTTACACCTTGAAGAGCAAGACAATTGCTCTTGTGATTAAACTATGAATAAAATATCTAATTTTCATAAGTTTTGTGTATTGTATTCTCACTTTTTGTTGATTATGTGCTTTGTGTTTGACTCGCAAATGAGTTGTGTCTTTCTGAAATTCCTCCATGCCAAATTGAATATAGTACTTGTATTTTTTGGCCAATGTTTGTGTGTAGGATTTCACTAAGAAATTACAAGACATGAACACTGAAATAAAAATGTAATTCACAGTACAAATACAAACTTCGTTTTTAAGAAATAAACTTCTCAGCAAATAAGATGAGCAAAAAAAAGGAAAGGAATCAAAGTGATAATTCAGTCATGAAAATCCCCAAAGTTCAGAAAACATTGATTTTTAAAAAATAATGAAGTTGATATTTCTTGATGGAGTGTGTAGAACTTTGGTTCCTACACTGCTTCAGTGAAGTGATTGGACAGTAATCTCCAAGGACACTCTTTCCAGCTCTAACAGTACTTATAAATTCATTACTGGAAGCTGATATTATCTTAGCCCTATTTTAACAAGCTAGTTGATTTTAAAAGCAAACTCCTAGGAAAAGGGAGATATTTAGAGTGAACTGGAATTTTAAAAAAGTCTGAAAGAAGTACTTCTGCGTTATAATCTTTGTTAAGGTAATTACATAGCCAAAACTTCTTCAAAGAGGAAGGAAAAATGGCTTAGTACAATCCCCAAAGCAGAAATGAATGACCTCTGATTGGTGTTGGGTAAAAAATGATCAAGTGAAGGTTAACCACATTCTAGATTTACTCCCCTTGGAAAAGTGTATCTACAGCAATACAAGCTAAAGAAATTCATATAAGAAAATCTTGGGGCTCGGTGCTTGTGCTTCAGCAGCTAGGGCACCAGCCACATACACTGGAGCTGGCGGTTCGAATCCAGCCCGGGACTGCCAGACAACAAAGACAACTACAACCAAAAAACAGCTGGGTATTGTGGTGGGTGACTGTAGTCCCAGCTACTGGGGAAGTTGAGGCAAGAGAATCACTTAAGCCCAAGAGTTAGAGGTTACTGTGAGCTGTGATGCCACGACCCTCTACCAAGGGTAGAGCGACAGCTTGAGACTCTATCTCAAAAAAAAAAAAAAAAGAAAGAAAAGAAAATGTTGGTTGTTCACAGCCTCCTCCCCATTCATGAATGTCATATCTGCCTCTGGTTTAGGCTAAATCCTCTACTCATCTGCATAAAGCAATAATAATTTTTCTGAAGCTATCCATCTGAGACTGCTCTATGCACATAGAAAATTCAAAGTGTTTTATATATATGATATATATATATTGTGTGTGTGTGTGTGTGTGTGTGTGTGGAGACAAGAGTCTCATTTTATTTATTGCCCTTGGTAGAGTGCCATGGAGTCAAACAGCTCTCAGCAACCTCCAACTCCTGGACTTAGGCAATTCTCTTGCCTCAGCCTCTCCAGTAGCTGGGACTACAGGCGCCGACACAATGCCCAGCTATTTTTTGGTTGCAGTTTGGCCGGGTTCAGGTTTGTACCCGCCACCCTCAGTATATAGGGCCGGCGCCCTACTCACTGAGCCACAGGTGCCACTCAAAGCTCAAAGTGTTTAATATTTTAATAACTCCATCTTTAAGGAAGAACCAACTCAGGGTTTATTTCATTTCCATAGCTGGACATAAGCAAGGCCTGTTGAAAAATCCCTTCTAATTTAAAGATTTAGCTATTCTCTGATTATCTGATATAGGAGAAAGAGATAACAGTAGTTCTCTCTCTCTCTCTCTTTTTTTTGTTGAGATCGACTCTCACTATGTTGCCCTTGGTAGAATGCCAGTGTCACAACTCACAGCAACCTCTAACTCCTAGGTTTAAGCAATTCTCTTGCCTCAGCCTCCCAGGTAGCTGGGACTACAGGCACCCACCACAGTGCCCAGCTATTTTTTGTTGCAGTTATCATTGTTGTTTTTAGCTGCCCCAAACCCACCAGCCTCAGAGTATCCGGCTGGTGCTGTAACCACTGTGCTACGGTCACCAGTAGTTTTCTTATAGTCACATGCATGTAAAAGCCAAGCCAACAAAATGATTACCATAAGATGGTTTGAAAACATTAGAGTTTTGATGCTGCACAATGATTTTTCTGGTATTGATGGTACTTATGTACCATTCTTTCAGACTTAAGCACCGTGTGGTGCTTTCTCTGGAAACATGCCAAAGAAACAGGCTGTGGCAGTAGACCTTCAAGTGCAGCTACTCTTGCAAGACTGCAGAAACCCCTTCAATTGGGAAGGCCATCTCATGATCAGATCACCCTAATGGTTTAGTTGGAAAAGTAGTGATGGAGAGATGGTCCAGTCATAGCTTTGAGTATTAATAGCAAATGCAGACTTGATGTTTGACCTGGCAGAATCTAGCAACTACCTGTACACAGTTTCTCCAGGTCAACAACCTTGCTCACAGAGCTGGAGCCTGCAGGTCCCTATGCACATCAAGGACATTATGTATGCCAGGTGTTCAATCTACTCACTGCCATTCACAGTCCAGCTTTCCCTTCCCCATCTAGAGAACACCTTATTTTACACTAAATTGGCACAATTATTTTTTATGGCTTCTCATCATCTTTAGCAGTTAAGAATGATGTTCTGCCTAGGTGCTGGGAGTTCTTCCTAACCCACTGCAACCTCCATAGCCTGGGGCTAAGGCCCCATCCTCCTCGCCCCTTCCTAATAGGAACAAGTACAATTACAGGGTCGAGGCCATTGCTTCTGCAATAAGGAACAAGGTCCCTTTTTCATTTTATCCATTCCCCTCCCCACATCGTGACAGCGCTTGTGACGAGCTGGCTCTGTCTGCACTAAGCCGACTTGCAGGCCTCAGAGCCACGCCATTCTATTTTTAAAGGCTTTCGAAGAAGAGATACTTGGAACAGTATGGAGATTTTCTTCCGCAGAGAGTCGCACATAGCCAGTGCTGCTAGATCTTGTCGGCGCCCAGAGAGGCACAGGGGTTAGTCATGTCTTCATTGGGGCGTCGCTTAAGCTCGGACAGGGGCTCGGGATTGGTTGCATTTGTTTGTTCTCAAGTGCCCAGGCCTTGTTATGGTTCACTTTTTCTTTTACCAGATTTTTAATACATCTATCTGAGGTCCAAGAAAGTGGGGGGAAAGTGGAGAGGCTGACCCACAAACGCTGTGCCTGCCATAGGAGCTGGACTCAGGTCCAGCCGGAGGCGCGAGAAGGGGCCGAGGCGCCGTGGGCCGCTGCCCCTTGGCCAGGACCAAGTGGATGCCCCCCGGGGGCTGAGTCCCCAGTTCCAGTGCTGAGACCAGGGCATCGGAAGTCCGCAGACGGCCTCGGCCGGAGGAATCCAAGGTTCAGTGGGAGCTTCCCAGAGTCTCGAAGTCCCGGGGTCCACGAAGGGTGTTAGGTCCAAGGCCGCCTTCAGCCGCGCCCGCCCGCGAGTCTGGGTCACTGGGGCTTCGAGCTGCTAAAGGGCCGGGCCAAGGGCGAGGCTGAGAGCTGCGGCGCCCCCACCCTCCGGGAACACCCCCTCTGGGCACCGACACCTGGAACCCGCGGAAAGCGCCTTCTCTTCAAGCGGGGCCCCGTTCTCCCTCCACCACCCTCCGGCTCCTAGGCAAGCTTTGAATGTATTAATTAAATAAAGCGCCAAAGCAGGGCGCTCCCGGGAGCGTGAAAGTCCCGGCCTCGGAATCCGCAAAAGAAATGTGTGAAAAGAGAATTAGTGAAATTAGGTTAGACCAATAAAACGTGAGGGCCCCAACACTCTCCCTCTCCCGCCCCCCAGCCCGCGCTCCCCCAGCCTGGGGCTAGAAGGGCTATCTGGTCTGACTATTGTTTCCCGCCTTGGCAGGGGGTTCATTGTGTGATAAATAATTCCCCTCCATTTTCTTTTTATTCTTGGGAAAAAAATGGGTATTTGCATAATCAGTGCTTTGATGTGGCCAGAAATGGGAGGTTTGGTCTCCTCAAGTCCGCTATTGGCAGCGAAGCAACAAAGCTAGCTCCGGGTGCTTCCCTGCGCCGACAGTGTGTGGGGCAGATTGTCACAAACGGCGGCGTTAAGCTGCTGCCTCCTTTTTAAGGATCCATTTTAACGATTGAACTTAAGGGATGTCCAAAAAAGGAGGGATGGAGGGCGAGCGGTCTCACCCTTTTTTACCTCTTCCTGTCCTCGGGGTTCATTGTTCTTTGCAGTTTCTTTGCCAAAGCGCTAGGGTTGGGGGTGGTGCGCCTCTGTGCTCGCCGCCCCACGTGGCTCCTACTGGGCACCGGCAGGGGGCCTGGGGCTGAGGAGGGGAGAGGTCCGCAGGAGCAGCCCCCCTCACCTCCCACCGGTTTTCCTTTCCCTAGTGTGATTATCCAGCCGGAATGGGGTTCGTCTTATGGAGGACGCTGGAGTGAGTCTCTTTAGTCCCGGAGTGGAATGGGGGGGTTCCCTGGGAACGCAGCTTGGGGGCAGTTTCAGATGCTCCCCGACAGGAGAAGCAAGCAAAGAAATTCAGTCATCCGGAAAGCAGAACGCGAAAGCCAGAGCTATTATTTCCCTGCAAGGTGGCGTGAGTCTGCAGGATGGAGTGGGAAAGGATCCTGATGGTGTGTGCGCTGCCACAAATGACTTTTTCCCCCTCTCAGTGCCAGTAGCGGGGGAGGGGGGAGGGGGGTGCTTCCCTCGGCTTTCGTTCTCATTCTCCGGCTTCTCCAGCTGCTCAGAGCTCGAAGAGGGAAATGCCAACTTGGATTACTGACTGGGAACACCGTGTGAAAGGCCGGGCCCCCCAGAACACCCGGACGGACACCCGCTTTACGCTCCAGCCTGGGTAGGTGTCAGCTGTGTGAGCAACGCTCGGCCTCCCGGGATCCAAATGGGAGGTGGACTGAGAGATGGAAGTGGGATAGGAGGATACTGGAAACACCTGCACGCCCAGGCTGCCACTCCTCCCCCCAGCCCACATCTCACTGAACTGACCCATTCTTCAGACGTCCCACCAGTTGGATCATGGAGTTCCAACGGTGGTTAGCTCATCATCAATTCTCTTGTTTATCT